TACGCCTGTAATCCCAGCACTTTGGGAGGCCGAGCAGGTGGATCACAAGGTCAGGAGATCCAACCATCCTGGCTAACACGGTGAAAACCACAAGCTCATGCTACGTCACAGGATGTTACTCGAAACCATGTTAGCCCACTCGGGACCGCTTGAGGGCTCCTGCGGAGCCTGAAGTCACGAGGCAGCCATCTGGTCCGCAGAATTCACCATGGTCATGACCACCCCTGGTGGGTGGCGGGCGCCTGCAGTCCCAGCTACACGGGAGGCTGAGGCAGGCGTGAGCCACCACGCCTGGCCTGTACGATTGTCTTGCACTGAGAATTCCAAGATGTACAGCAAGGCCTGGAGTTAGGGTGAAGACTTTTCCACATAGATTAAATTTGGAAAGTTCCTGTCCAATAGAGGCTTCCTTGTGCACACTGAGGACGTCTTTTCCACAACAATTACCCTCAGAAGTGTTCCCTCCATTGTGAGCTCTCATGTGTGTCTTAAGGCAAAACTGTTCACTGAAGACCTCTCCACAATTCTCACACAGTTTCCATCCACTGTAGCTTCTTATCTGCTGAGGAGGGGATAAAGGATTTAAAACATTTTCAGACATATTAAGAGATTTCACCCATCTGAACACAGAAACATTATTTTGATGTCACTTATTATTTTACTTTTCTTTTCTTTTTTTTTTTTTTTTTGAGACAGAGTCTTGTTCTATCTCCCAGGCTGTAGTCCAGTGGCACAATCTGGGCTAATTGCAACCTCCACCTCCCAGGCTCAAGCAATCCTCATGCCGCAGTCTCCCAAGTAGCTGGGAATACAGGTGCGTGCTACTGCACCTAGATAATTTTTCTATTTTTTTGTAGAGGCAGGGTTTTGCCCAGTTGCCCAGGCTGGTCTCAAACTCCTGAGTTCAGGCGATCTGCCTGCCTCAGCCTCTCAAAGTGGTAAGACTACAGGCATGACCCACGCTGCCCAGCATGTTTTACTTTTTTCAGAGTTGGGATTTCACTCCATTGCCTGGGTTATAGTGCACTGGTGTGATGGCTCACTGTAACCTCAAACTCCTGGCTGGCTTCAAATGATCATCCTGCCTTAGCTTCCTGTGTAGCTAGGACCATCGGTATGCACCATCATGCCTGGCCTATCTATCTATCTATCTATCCATCCATCCATCCATCCATGAGATGGAGTCTCGCTCCATCTGGAGTGCAGTGGCACAATCTTGGCTCACTGCAATTTCCACCTCCTGTGTTCAAGCAATTCTCGTGCCTCAGCCTCATGAGTAGCTGGGATTACAGGCATGTGCCACCATGCCCAGCTAAGTTTTGTATTTTTAGTAGAGACAGGGTTTCGCCATGTTGGCCAGACTGGTCTCAAACTCCTGACCTCAAGTGATCTGTCCATCTCAGCCCCGCAAAGTGCTGGGATTACAGGCGTAAGCCACTGTGCCTGGCCAGCTGTTTTTCTGAATGTATTATGTTTACTGAAACGAAGGAGCACAACAGTTGGCACTTGGTGTACAACTAATGCAGATAATGTTCTTATCTCTATGCCAATTTGAAAAAACAGCCAGAATCACTCCACACCATTGCCTCCAGACTGCATAAATTCTCCTTCATGTTCACTGCCAAAATATAGTCCTCAGTGGTCCTGACATTGTAAAAAGCATCACACTGGTTGACTATGTGGACTTTTTTTTTTTTTTTTTTAAGACGGAGTCTCACTCTTGTCACCCAGGGTGAAATGCAGTGGCACGAACTGTGCTCACTGCAACCTCCACCTGCCGGGTTCAAGCGATTTTCCTGCCTCATCCTCCCAAGTAGTTGGGATTATGGGTGCCCCCCACCATTCCTGGCTAATTTTCATTTTGTTTCGTTTTGTTTTTGTTTTTGTTTTTGTTTTTGTTTTTGTTTTTTGAGACAGAGTCTCACTGTGTCGCCAGGCTGGAGTGCGGTAGTGTGATATCAGCTCACTGCAACCTCCGCCTCCTGGGTTCAAGTCATCCTCCTGCCTCAGCCTCCCAAGTAGCTGGGACTACAGGTGCACAGCACCACGCCCAGCTAACTTTTTGTATTTTTAGTAGAGACGGGGTTTCACCGAGTTGGCCAGGATAGTCTCGATCACTCGACCTTATGATCTGCTCACCTTTGCCTCTGAAAGTGCTGGGATTACAGGCGTCAGCCACTGTGCCCAGCCAATTTTCTTTTGTATTTTTAGTAGAGATGGGGTTTCACCATGTTGGCCAGGCTAGTCTCAAACTCCTAACCCCAGGTGATCCACCTGCCTCGGCCTCCAAAAGTGCTGAGATTACAGGTGTGAGCCACTGTACCTGGCCTGTGGATTTTTTTTTTTTTTTTTTAAAGAGACAGGGTCTTGCTGTGTTGCCAAGGTTGGAACACAGTGGCACCATCATAGCTCATTGCTGCCTCCAACTCCTGCGCTCAAGTGATCCTCTTGCCTCTGCCTTCTTAGTAGCTGGGACCACAGGTGCTGCTACCATGCCCGACTACTTTGTTTTGTTTTTTTTAACTTTTAGTAGAGACAACGTCTTGTTGTTACCCAGGCTCAAAACTCCTGGGCTCAACTGATCCTCCTGCCTAGGCCTCCCAGGTAGCTAGGACTACAGGTACATGCCACTAGCACACCCAGCTATTTTTTAAGTTTTTTGTAGAGATGGGTTTCATTATGTCACACAGGCTGGTCTCAAATTCCTTACCTCAAGCAATCCTCCCACCTCAGCCTTCCAAAGTAGTGGGATTATAGGCATGAGCCAGCATGCTCAGCTAATATTTTATTTTTAATGGACAAATGAAAATCATATTTGAAATGTGTGTACATTGTCGAAGGCCTAAATCCAACTAATTAACTAATATACATTATCTCACATATTTAACTTTTTGGGGTGAGAACATTACTCTTAGCAATTTTCAATGATATAATATATTGTTATTAATTGTAGTCATTATGTCGTATAATATAGTTCTTGCCCTTATTCCTTCCTTTTTTTTTTTTTTTGAGACGGAGTCTCGCTCTGCCGCCCAGGCTGAAGTGCAGTGGCAGGATCTCGGCTCACTGCAAGCTCTGCCTCCCAGGTTCAAGCAATTCTCCCACCTCAGCCTCCCGAGTAGCTGGGACTACAGGCGCCCGCCACCTCGCCCGGCTAGTTTTTTGTATTTTTTTTAGTAGAGACGGGGTTTCACCGTGTTAGCCAGGATGGTCTCGATCTCCTGACCTCGTGATCCACCCGCCTCGGCCTCCCAAAGTGCTGGGATTACAGGCTTGAGCCACCGCGCCCGGCCGCCCTTATTCCTTCTATCTGAAATTTTGACCAACATCTCCCCAACCCACACCCCTAAGCCCCTGGTAACTACCATTCTCTCTCTCCTTCTATAAATCCAACTTTTTTAGATTACACATACAAGGGAGATCATCTGGTATTTGTTTTCTATACCTGGCTTATTTCAGTTAACATATTTTCCTCCAGGTCCATCCATGTTGTTGCAAATGACAATGTTTCCTTTTAAAACATATATCACTTTTGAATGTGCTTTATTCAGTCTACAAAGTCACCTATGAGACCTTCAGTTTCAAGTGGGGTCACAGCAAGAAAGTGCCTTGCAGGCCGGGCGAGGTGCCTCATGCCTGTAATCCCAGCACTTTGGGAGGCCGAGGTGGGTGGATCACCTGAGGTTGGGAGTTCAAAACCAGTCTGGCCAACATGGTGAAACCCTGTCTCTACTAAAAATACAAATATTAGCTGGGCATGGTGGTGCATGCCTGTAATCCCAGCTACTTGAGAAGCCAAGGCAGGAGAATTGATTGAACCCTGGTGGCAGAGGTTGCAGTGAGCTGAGATTGCGCCATTGCACTCCAGTCTGGGTGACAGAGCAAAACTCTGTCTCAAAAAACAAAAAACAAAAAAAAGGAAAGTGCCTTGCATCAAGTTCAGGCTGCTCTATAATATTCTCAAGCACTTAGTCCAAATGATCTAGCAGATCCAATCACACTCAATGACTCCGTAGCATTCTCTGGCAAGTACCAATAGGAGACTCACAACACAGTAGTGTGGAGCAAATCTATGGCATCTTCTGCAGGAAACTACCCTCCTTTTGAGAAACACCTTGGCTCTGGTACAAGGTAGAAAAAACTAACTGTGGAAAAACAAGTGATCTTAAGATTATCTTTGTGACATTGATCCATATCATTGTACCTACCTTTACTACTTCATTTGCTGGACAGCATTCCAGTAGCATAATTATGCCACAATTTACCCATTCTGTTGATCTCATTTGGGTAATTT